ATATATATATATATATATATATATATATATATATATAAACCCAGAAATAATAGTGTGCATATACAAATTATTTTTCATACCATGTTGAAAAGTGACTTTTAACTTTAAGTGTTTTAAAATGTGACTTTCATAGTGAGATATGCTGGAAAAAACACAACATGGTTAAAAACATGACTGCGATTCATGTGTACTTTAAAAATCAGCGTAGTTTGGCAATGCAAGAATGTGTTCTGTGTGACCCTGAATCAACTTTGAACGAATTGACAAAATATGGATTGCTGTGGACTGTAGGTTAGTTATTGGTTTATGTTCACTGATGTGAAAATAAAACAAACAATATATTGACTTCTAAAGACACTATGTATTTCTAGTTAAAGCTTAAAATTATAAGCTTATATTGTTTGTGACTAAATCAATTGAGTAATCAGAATATAATCGATTGAAATAATATTAAAGAATATAAAAGCATATAAAATCTCCAAAATGAACAAGAAAAAATGTATATTAACTTTTGTATGATTCGATTGTTTTTAAAAAAATGTTTTAATCAATTAGGAGCTGTAATATGACTATAAAAATTTGTAGTGGACACAGATTGTTTTTAATTAGGGGAAAGTTCTGGAAAAAAGACGTGTGTGTGTGGTGGGTCACAGTTAAAGCAGAAAGGTCAGTCATATTGCGCATGGATAAACATGCAATCTGACTGCTGCCCGGTTTCAAGTCTAAATATAGAGGACATGAGTGAAAAATTTGGAAATATAAGAAGACAACAGACAAGCTGCAGAGGACAAGAGAGAGTGAATGTGCATTTGATGTTGTATATATTAACCTGAGTCTGTTCTCTCTTCCTTGTTCTGCCCTTCATCCTCTTTCCATCTGCCTCACTCTCGTTCCCTCCCTCTCCATCTGCCTCGCTCTCTCTGTCTCTCTTGTTCTTTCAGTGCCATATGTGAGAGGGCTGCTCTGTGTCCTCGGCACATTAATACACAATGACCCTCACAGAGCTTACAGCAGAAAGCTCAAGTGCCTTTTTCAGTTTTTCTGACTGATCTTTCTTCTTCACCTTCACGGTCTCATTCTTTTCTCTCACCGTCTTAATTTTTTGCCCTCAGAATCAAACTGCACATTCTTTAAATTCTACACATCTGGAGAGAATGCTGTCATATTTAAGAAAACGACAGAAAAAAGTAAGTTCTTCCTGTATAATCTGCCCTCTTTTCTCTCTGCTGTCTGTGCTCTCTCTCGTCTATTCATTCTCTCTCTTTCCACGCTGTTTCTCTCATTGAAAATCAGTCATGTGTTTCTGTCTCCTCCCCCGCTCCATGTCTCTCCATCTCTCCACATTTCATATTGTGTACATGCACAAGAATGCATCATGAGCTCTATTTCTTGTTTCACTTATTTCAAGTGCATTGGCATAATTAATACCCCAACAAAATATATGCCCAAAAGTACATGGATGCCCCTTCTTACAGTTTTGGCTAGGCTGTACACTCTTAAAAATAAAGGTTCCAAAAAGATTTTTTGGAGCGATGCCATACAAGAACCATCTTTGGTTCCCCAAATCTAAAGATGCTTTTTTCACTATAAAGAACCTTTTGTGCAATGGAAAGGTTCCATGGATGTTAAAGGTTCTTCGTTGGACCATCAATGCCAATAAAGAAGATTTGTTTTTAAGAATGTAGTTCACCAAAAAAAGAAACTTCTGTCATCATTTACTCCCCATGTTGTTCCAAACCTGTATGACTTTTTCTCCCATGTGGAACCCAAAAGAATATATGTACTTGTAAATTTTTTCCTCTGAATTAATATGCTAGCTTCGTGTAAGAAACAGACTGAAATTTAAGTTATTCACAATTCTCAACATTATCTCTGTATAAAACAGATCCAGATCGGTTTGATTCTTGACTAAATAATTCACACTGGTATTGTTAACTGGTTCAACAGATTCAGTAGCTGCTTTTCCACTGTCGGCCCAGTGCGAGCCAGTGCTTTCAACGGGCCGGGCAGGGCTAAGGCTAATATCCTCAGACCTGTAGCACCGGGCCCAAAATCACGCTGTGTTTCCACCGTCGTGCCAGAAGCTCCGCTGCGCTTCAATAAAACCTGCACTTTACACTCTTTGGAACAAGGCCACACAACCCCATCATTTCACCAACAAAACGATAATATTTTTTTTTTCTTATCACAAAATGATAAGAGCGGCCATTTGTTTGCGTTTTTTTGTTGTTGACAAAGATTTAAATGCAAAAGCATCTCTGTTTTACCAGTTTTACAATAATAAGTGATGCATTGATCATAATGAATTAATTTGTCAGGATTGAAAATTAGTCACACAGAAATAAAGTGGTATTTACCGTTATTTCACAAAAGAAAGAGGACACACATACTATTCAGTCATGTCTGTTTCTGTTTATTTGTAGTCGCAGTATACATCACATTTAGAAAAAATAATAATTTCTATATTTCCATCAAAAATACGACCTGAGCAGCTGAGGAGCCTCCCGAACAAAAACTATGATTATGATGCTATGGGCTGCTATGATTATGAGCTAAATATGAACATCAGACACTCGGGTATAAAGAGACGAGCCTACTGACAGATAAAATTTGTTACTAAATAAATACACGATTGTGATAGCCTAGTCTCTATGATTTGTCTGATTTCTTCAAGCGGTTGTATTTAACATTTTTACTATGGTAATGGCTAGTGTTCATAGTCTTTTGCATCGATTACAAATATGTATGATCATAATCCACATCGGATCTCAAACAGAAGTTATTTCATACTCGCTGCTGTCGGAAAGTGAGTTTTGAGCTGAAATTATTTTAAAAGTCTTTAATTCCGTTGTTATAGCTGTTAACTTTGAAATAACCCACGCTGCTGACGCTCTCCAGACACGGAGAAACTCACTGGCTATTGAAAAGATCTGACTCAAAAGAGCAGGTAGTTGATGAATCAGGCATTGCTACTTCTCTTCAAGCTTGCCAGAGATCGACAACAGATGTCAATATTTATTTGTGAATAATTGAGACGCAATTTTCAGCCTGTTGCTCACATGAAGCTCATGTCTTGGAATATAGCTCACATTTTGTGATAACCAGTTGAGCTAGTTGTGTTCCTGTATCTCCACTGGTAGACCATAATGCTATAGCCACATACAAATAATTTACTGCTTAAAATCCAGATTGAACACCTTTGGGATACACTGGAATGCTGAATGTGTGCCAGATCCCATTGGCCAAAATTGGTCCCTGACCTCACTAATGCTCTTCGTTTTGAATGGGTGCAAATCCCTTCAGCCATGTTCCAGCATCAAGTGGAAAGCCTTCCCAGAAGAGTGCAGGCTGGTTCGGGAGAGTCATTAATGCCAATGGTTTTATAATTAAATGCTCAACAAACACAGCAGGGTTTAGTTGCCCACGTATGTTTGCCTATATTGTTTAACGATGCAGAATTATGTCTTCGAACAAATATGACTCATTGCTTGCTTTGTTTCTCTCTTAGGTTTACATATAGCAGGTGCAATGTTGGCTTTGTTGAGTTTGTTTCTGATGATCATGGGCTCTGTGTGTATCACTATGTCTCTCAGTAAGAGTGTGCCCTTCTTCCTCAAGCCTGCTACCATCTGCTTCGTCTTCTCAGGTACCTCTTAAACATCTCATACCTGCATTCGGTGACTTTAAAAACACACCAACACCATTCAGCTGCACAAAATCTTAAGTAGTTATTGGAGGAGGCTCAAATTTATTGACGCAGCCTATGAGTCAATGTTCTGGACTTAATGGGGGATTGGCAATGTTCAAGCGCACTGTGTCCCATTGCTGAGATTCTAAGCTTAAACCTCAACCTCAATCACAATGTCAGGCATCTCAAGAAATAGAGATGACTGTATTTCAGTGTCACTTCACTAATCACGTGTAACCACTCATGTTTAATATGAGTTTGAGGTATATCATAAGAAAACAGTTGGAGAAAAACATTCCTAATGAACTCACGGTGAAGTTCTTTTTCATTATTCTCTTAGGGTGAGAGAGTGGTGAGAAAGCAGCAGTTAAGAAAGCATCTGATCATATCCATGTGGATAAGTTTGCACCAGCTTTGCAATTCGGCACTCCAGTCAAGTCATGTCATGTTTATTTATACAACACTTTATAAAATAGTTTGTTTTAAAGTCAGTCATTTGCAACATGAAAAAACAGTGTCAGTGTCACTTCCAATTAAAATTACAAGCTCAATTTTTTACTATAAAGCAGTTCTTCAGTGTGTTCATGTTTTCACTCACGTCTCAACTAAGTGAACTATTAGTTGATAGTCATTTAAAAAGAGTCATGAAAAAGCCTCAGACTCACTCGAGAGTTTACACATTTGAATCAGACTTGAGTTGATTGTTGTGAATCGTTACCGATTTCATAAGTAACTCACTCACTGAATCACAGCTCATGGAAATGAACAAGAACACGCTACCTGGACTTCATTAAAAATAGAGATTTGTTGGAATCAATTAATAATGGCTTTCCAAGAAAACATTTAAATATTGTAAACAAACAATGTTACTCCAAAAACAGTTTGCATCAATCTTTTTGAGTTATGACCGCTTCTAATGAAATGTGTAATGTGTGTAAATAACAAAGGTAGAGCATAAACAATTTTTTTTGTTGCTAAAATCACTTAATGGAAATTTCCAGGTACACTTAATATGAAGTCGATGTAACAGTCGGCATTATTTTGTCAACCGAGCTCATCAAAACAGTTTTGCAACTTAAAAGAATTAATTAAATCATTAAATTAGTATTTGTTAACTTTCAACCATGCTTTTAAGTTGTAATAGGTCTCCTGATTTTCTTTTTAATCATTGTTTAGCATATGAGATCCATAAAGTTTTTGGATCTCATTTGCATATGCGGTCACTATATGCTTAAACTGTCAGCATATAGTGACCGCAGTTACAAGCCAAAGTAGGAAGCTATGTACTGTGAAGCGCTTCAGAAAAAATCTTTGAGCAATTTTGTAATTTACCAACTACAAATGTAATTCTGCTCCTGAGTGTTTCACATTGAATTCAAATAGTTGAACCGTTCCTTTAAATAAAATGACCTTTCGTCTCCACTTTCCCCAGGTATCCTGGTCCTCCTGTCCATCATAGTTTTCCACCAGTCTGTGCTGGCGTTATTGGCAAGCGATCACAGTATCCCTCTCCATCATGAGTTGTCCTGGTCAGTGGCGTGTCTTGGCTCGGCTGCGGCCATTCTCATTTTTGGAGGGCTTATGTTCCTGTTGCTTTCCCTCCCCTACAACCCCCTGGAGAAATGTTTTCGTCAGCAGAGCAGTAGCGATGCCTAGCTGTCAGAGGACTGCCAGCGAGTTAAGTAGCACAAGATCTTTTATACTCTTATGCTGCTTGTGGAGATTAACTGATGTTATAAAGGACTCTCAAAAGCTAATGTTTTGCAAAAACTAGCATTAGTTTGCTCTTCGATAAGATGATAGACCTTAATGCTCATACACCGACTCTGAAATTTGAACCGGTATTTCTATGATGGTTATGTACATCAAATCAGTGACCAACAGATCTGTTTACTGTCTTGAAAGGCTTCATTTACACAACATGCTGTGCTATTATGCATTGTCCCTTTATCTGCATTTGTATAAGAAACCTTATTTGATTACTAGGCATATAATACTGACTTATCAGGTATTTGTGGGTTGAAAGTGTTGATTTTTTTTAGGCCATCCTATCAATGCTAAAGCCTTGTTCCCACCAAGAAAGATAACTATATTAGTGTCAGATAACATTCTGGGTATTATAAGAGCACACTGCTGTTTTAAATGCTTGAGCTCTTTAAAGTTGAGTGGATTCTGATTGGCTGTCAGTGCTTTTATCATTCATCAGCTAGAGAAAAAAAAATCATTCTGAAAATGATTCCCGTAATATCGTTCCTCTGTGGCATTTTCAATATAGCTGTGGTGCAGACTTCTCTATTCTCATAGAATTAGAATGATTATTAAAACTTTAGAGTTATAGTTACTATTATTGTTATCGTCATTGGTGCAAACAGGCCTTTAGAATAAAACTGCAAACCAGCTTTACAGGTTTATGCTATTAAGAAATGGCTTGTGTACCATCATAGCCGTTCTGTTTAATAACGAGACTTGGCAGGTGAGTTTCATTGACCATAATTATGTTTATAGTAAACCAGCTACAGTGATCCCAAGAAGTGACACTTCTTCAAAATTCAAAACATTAAAAAATGTGTCCAATATTTTGTATACAATATTTTTAACTATATATATATATATATATATACACATTTTTTTTTGTTAATTAATTTTATTTTTTTATTTCAGAAAGTCTTTGTACCATCTTTCTTTAAAATAAACTACTTTGTTTGGTAGTTAGCTATAAAATTTAATATTCATGCATTTAAGTGCCCAAATACTTTTTGGGATCACTTTATACTGATCTTTTCTGCTGGTTTTCAGTGAACAAAGTCATCAGCAGACTAGATATCATTGATTTCAATGCATCGATTTAATGGGATGGTTTATTATTTACAGTTGAAGTCAAAAGTTTACAGAAACCTTGCAAAATCTGCAAAATGTTAATTCTTTTCAAATAAGAGGGATCATACAAAATGCATGTTATTGTTTATTTAGTACTGACCTGAATAAGATATTTCACATAAAAGATGTTTACACATAGTCCACAAAATAAAAATAATAGTTGAATTTATAAAAATTACTCAAAAGTTCAAAGGTTTACATACACTTGATTCTTAATACCGTGTTGTTACCTGAATGATCCACAGCTGTTTTTTGTTTAGTGATAGTTGTTCATGAGTCATTTGTTTGTCCTGAACCGTTAGACTGCCTGCTGTTCTTCAGAAAAATCCTTCAGGTCCCACAAATTCTTTTCCAGCATTTTTGTGTATTTGAACCCTTTCTAACAATGACTGTATGATTTTGAGATCCATCTTTTCACACTGAGGACAACCGAGGGACTCATATGCAGCTATTACAGAAGGTTCAAACGCTCACTGATGCTCCAGAAGGAAAAAACATGCATTAAGAGGTGAAAACTTTTGAACAGAATGAAGATGTGTAAATTTTTCTTATTTTGCCTAAATATCATATATTTTTCATTTAGTACTGCCCTTCAGAAGCTACAGAAGATACGTTCACATTTCCCAGAAGACAAAATAAGTAAAATTTGCCCTGATCTTCAAATTCAAAGTTTACACCCCTGGCTTTTAATGCATCGTTTTTCCTTCTGAATGGGGTCATTTTTATAAATTCAACTATTATTTTCTCTTGTGGACTATATCTAAACATCTTTTATGTGAAATATCTTATTTAGGTCAGTACTAAATAACATGCATTTTGTATGATCCCTCTTATTTTGGTAAAATTAACATGTTGCAGATTCTGCAAGGTGTATGTAAACTTTTGACTTCAACTGTATATAAATGTAAAACGATGCTTAATACTATACCGCTCCAGAAGGAAAAAACATGCATTAAGAGGTGAAAACTTTTGAACAGAATGAAGATGTGTAAATTTTTCTTATTTTGCCTAAATATCATATATTTTTCATTTAGTACTGCCCTTCAGAAGCTACAGAAGATACGTTCACATTTCCCAGAAGACAAAATAAGTAAAATTTGCCCTGATCTTCAAATTCAAAGTTTACACCCCTGGCTTTTAATGCATCGTTTTTCCTTCTGAATGGGGTCATTTTTATAAATTCAACTATTATTTTCTCTTGTGGACTATATCTAAACATCTTTTATGTGAAATATCTTATTTAGGTCAGTACTAAATAACATGCATTTTGTATGATCCCTCTTATTTTGGTAAAATTAACATGTTGCAGATTCTGCAAGGTGTATGTAAACTTTTGACTTCAACTGTATATTAATGTAAAACGATGCTTAATACTATACACTTGAAACAGATGTTTCTATTGTGTGTATAAAAATGATGTACGGAATCGATTGATGTGGATATGGGCCCACTGTTTAGCCACATTTCTCTGTAAATACTGTGTTTATATTGTACTCCTGCTTTTCTTTATCCCTATACTGAAGACCCTGTCCTTCACTGAACTCTCTTCTTTCTTTCATGTCTGTTCTTCACTTGGTTGTTTGTCACTCTATATTCATCACGCTCTTTCTCGTTCACTAGTTTTGCTTGAGGATTAAATCTCTTTCACCTAAGACAGTCTCCTGTACTCCTTCCCTCGCTTGTTTCTTAATCTCACTCCTTCTCTTTTGCCACTCGCTCAGTCTAAAATTAGCGCATTGCTCATCTAAGCACATCATGTTGAAGTGGATGAGAAATACTATCCTAGAATGTCAACTATGCCCCCCCTCGACGTTCTCTCCCGATGTTGATGGCTCTTGGGTGTCTCCGAGGGTTTGGGTGGAGCTGCGTCTGCCGTCCCGTTCCTCCCCTCCCACCCGAGTGTTTGTGAATGCAGTGCTGGCACATTTGGGAAGTGAGGAAAGGTCTGAGCCTCAGTAATCTGTGTGTCTTTCGTCCAGTCTAACTAAAGCCTCCATCCTGTAACAATCTGGATCTCCTCAAACCGCAGAAATGACAGGTGGCGAGCATGTTCCTGGAGAAACCGTCTCAACATGTCCTACAGCGAGCTTATTACTGGCCCATTTAATTTGGTGAATCTATAGCATAAGAGAGTGTGGGCTGATCAGATGGCCGGAATATGGGTGGGTGCAGGAGTAGGGAAATTGGAGCTGTAGATTGACACTCAAGCCAGAGGTCTGCTTGTATATATAGCCCTTTAATAGTGCCTTTCGGTCTAGCGGGCTGTTCTTTCACTTTTTATGTGTACGAGTGAATGGGGGGGGGAATAAAACAGGATCTGCTCGTGCAGGTTTATTAATTGTTGGTCGGGACTGAAATGAGTGCATGTTTTTGGGTATGTACAATAAAAACCTCTAGACAGTCCTCCAATAGTGAGAAAGTGATGGCCTGCCCATCTGGAAATCAGGAAAAAAAAAATAGGTCAATATTCATTTACCCAAATTATACACAGAAAATGGTCAAATTCAAATATGATTCTGCAAAATATCTAGATTTTATCTGTTAAAGGAATTTTTTTAATTCTTTTTTTTTTGTTTTCTAATTTAGTTTTTTTAAGCTGATTATTAGAACAGTGGTTCTTAACCTTTTTGACTCAAAAATTTGACTCAATTTCTACCCAATAAAGTATTATAGTGTTTGACGTTACTAGAAAAAAATGATATTCATTGATATTGAAAACATTCAAGGACTTTTAAGATTTTATTAATTTTATGTGACATTTACCTCATATAAAGAGTCTTGGTTCTTCAAAGGAAAAAAAAAAATTGTCGAGGGGTGAATTAAAATAAGAAATATCTTGATTGTTTTGGCTTATTGTAATACAAATTTTTCCTTATTTTAAATTAGTTTAAGGCATCTTGAGGCCTCCTTGAAAATTTGCTGAGGCCCCCTAGCAGGCCCCGGCCCCTGGTTGAGAACCACTGAATTAGAAGTTTATGGAAGCCCGTTTGGTCCTCAGAGTAAAAAAAAAAAAGATAATGGTGACTATTTTCACTGAATTTTTTTGTATTTTAAACTAATCTCACAATTACCTATCTGCATTTTTTACTGTGAGATGGAAACGTGCTTCCATGAAAGATCATCTTCGTTATCTTTTATGGATAAAGATGTTAAAAACACACAAATGACATCACTCGTAGATTGTTGTTTCTTTTATATATAAAATTCGTGCAATACAGTGTTAAGAGTTTATCACACATTAAGATAAACCATATTTTCTCTAGATCTATTCTCCACTACGTAATATTTATAACTGACCACATAAATGCTGTCCGTGTAGTTTCACTTTTTTTTTTGTATGAATTAAAAAAGACCCCCGAATGCAGGAGTTTGTGATTTGATGCCCATTTGCACTCTTTTATGAAATGTCCTGTGTTGACCTCCAGTTGGCTGGGATCATGGAATAAAGGTTAAAGGTTAGCAGAATGTCCACATATATAATCTCTCATTTAGAGAAGCAGACGGATCAAAGGGAGTCAGGTGCAGCACAGTGAACATTTGTTTTTGTGTAGTTTTTTTTTTTTTTTTTTGGGATGGGAGTTTGCCTTTGGGATGCTTGTCATGATCACATGACACAATGGAGGGAAAACACAAAAGAGACCGGGCATGCCCCACATACGAGTCTAGCCCAATCAGAGCTCAAGGAAGACCGTGTCCTCATACATATTCAAAAAAGCCTGACCCACCCATTCTGCCCTTTTCAATACATAAAGACCCCCCCCCCCCCCTTCACATCTGTACTATTTTTAAAATATCTCTTTTTTTTCAAATACAGTTGTGTAATATACATTTGTATTTTAAAATGTAGTTGTTTTTTTCCATCCTCCCTCCCTCTGATTTGAAAAGCACAGTTTTGGATAGAAGCCCCTCTTCTGAATGTCATCATTCGTCATTTTCTCTGTACAAATATATCATCTGTCCCTCTTTGACCAAGTGAGGGAATGTTTTAATGCCCCAAAACAAAGGTTTTCAATTCATCAAGTGCTACTTCTACTGCTAATAGTGATTTTAACAAAAATAATATGATGGTAGGTTTATATAAAAATCGTTTTCACTTGAACTTTGTCATTTCAGTCCATCAATTATGGTGCCGATCTCTTTACTGAGCTGGAAGACAGATATACAGATATTACACTAAATTGCATGTTATCAAAGGGTAGAAAATAAAACTTTCTTTAAAATAAATAAAATGCTTTCTCACAAAGTTAGTCGTCGTAGTAATAATCTTCTCACACACATTGAATACACTCATGTTTCTGCAGTGCTCAGTATCACGTTTTGGAATCGCAGTCAAACATCTTTGAAAAGCAAAATAGTCTTTCTAGTTTAAAGACTAGAATCATTCAACATGTTAAGAGCTAGCAGTTCAAACGTCTCGTAATAACAACAACACATCACTGTCTTGAAATTCCACGCCTAAAATCGAGCAAAATAATAACACAGTATTCCATGATAATGGTTTAATTAAAACAGTACTGAAGAAAAAAAAAACATGAGGTGTTGTTGTCATTATGAGATGTTTGTCATTCTTTTACTCTTTATTTTTTCATAAAGTGAAACATTTGTCAATGCCGAGAGACTTTTCCCCTTTTTAGTTGTTGTCCAGT